GGGATGCTCTCTCCCTCTCTCTCTCCCCCGGCGGGGTTGGGGTTTGTTGGTGTTTTTTCGTTTTTCTTTTGTTTTTGGTTTGGGGGGTTTTTTGTTTTTCTTCTCATACTCTTCGTTTTTTGGTGGGGGGGGGGGGGGGGGGGGGGGGGGGCCGAGGACGGGGACGGGGCGCATCTCGCCCCTGCCCATGTCCCCGGGCGTCCGTTTTGAGGCGGTGGGAATCTCGGCCCCATCACCGCCCCCGGCGTGAGAAGACATTTCCGTGGCGCGCCACGCCGCAGGCAGTGGAAATAACAATAACACAGTGGCCGGGTGTTTCTTCTCCCCCCCCCCCCCCGCCCCCCCCTCTCCGATGGCCAGCGAATGGGGCCGGGCCGAGGTGGTTGCTGGGGGGGCAACTTGGCGCGTATCGCTCTGAGGTGTATGGCGCCCTTAGACACATGATGCCCGCGCCCGGCTGTCCCCACCCTCCGTCCTCACTGATCGCGCTGGAGTGCCTGCCGGCCTCTCCCCCCTCTGGGGTCGAGTGTGGGGGAGGGGGGCAGGACAGCAGCACACGCTTGGAGGAGGGGTTCGAGAAACGTTTGTTTACTTCCCCGGTGGCCCCCCAAGACCATTTTGGGGGGGGGGGAGGGGGGGAGGACCGGCAGGCCGCGCTGTCAAGGGGCATCGGGGGGGGGGGGGGGCGGAGAGGGGGCTTCTCAGGCTCCCCTGCCCCTGTGGGCCGGAGTCAAAACGCCTGGCGTCCAGGAGCAAGCAGCCGGGCGCCGCCTCACACCAGTGCACGGGAGGGGGACAATAATGACGATTGTGTGTGTGTGTGAGAGAGAGAGAGGGGCACAGAGAGGGAGAAACTACGAGAGCCCAAAAAGGGGGGCCTACAGCGTTCCCGAGGAGCCACTCTTCCCCCCAGGCCGACGAGGAGGGAGGGCGAGAGACGAGAGCCTGACCGGAATAATGGCCCCTTGGATGCGGTTTTGAGTGTATCGACGTCTTTCTCTCTCCACCCCCCCTCCCCCTCCCTCTCCCCCATCCAACGCACGGCGCTCCTACTCATCCAAGCTGCTTCATGTGCACAGGCAGACCATCAGGACGTGTGCCGTCAGGTCTTGTGCGGCACTTTCTGTGAACTCTGTGTGCAATTGCGTGGAAGATGACTGCTTTTTTTTTTGCCCGGGGACATCGCTGGCAACAGAGAAGTCTATGTATGTGTGTGGGAGGGGGGGGGGGGGGGGGGCGGGGGGGGGGGGGAGGCACGGCGTCTCCTGTGGTCACGATCGCCCCGGC